TTTATACAAATATTGATAATTAAATTAGTTCACACAAATATAAATTTTATAATTTATACGGAGTATATACTAATTGTCATGCATTGATGGAGTTTTAGCTTGAAAATAAAACAAAGATGTCAATCCTAAGATCAAAGATTAGAATAAAGACGAGTTGGCGGTATGTAATCATTTTGAGCTCTACTCTACGATGAGGGTATAGTCCTGAATCCTAATTGAATTGAAATAATTATATATTTCTCATTATTTATGGCTATATTATTTAATACTTAATTACTAACTGTCTAACTACGTTCAATTTTTATATTTAGGAGACCATGACACTGACTCATAGTAATTTAATTGTAATCATATTTTTATAAATAAATTTTATTACATCAGTAGTATTTTTGAAAAAAACTCATAACATATGTAAACATTATTAAACAAGTAAATTAAAGGGGCAAAGACGCTATATATGCCTTAATTTGCAAATGATGAGCCTGCCAAAATTTAGTTTGGAGAATTTCTAAAAATAGATATGAATTAAATAAATGTGAAATTCCAAAATACAACACTTGAATTGCATTTTGTTCTCCAGTTATGAGTAAATTTTGATATCATATTTTCTTATTTTGACATTATTAGACATCAATATGTTAGTATTAGTTTTATATTGAAAGTATCCTTCCACTCATAATTCGTAATGTATTTATAATAGGAAAAATAACTTTAAATAATACCAACTATCATCCATGAACAAATAATAATACAAAGTTCGAAAATGACTTTTAATAATACCAACTATTTGAATATAAACAAAAATAATATGGAGTCATTTTTTGACAAAAAGTCCAATCATTTAAGACATCAAAAGCTAATATTAACCCATCACATAAATGATATTTGGAAATATATTCACTAATTAGATATTTTGATAGAAGTTTTTGATGAGTTAGAATTTTTTGTTAAAAAAATGCTCTATATCACTTTTGGTCCATATTTAAATAGTTGATATTATTAAAACTTATTTTCAAAGTATGTATTATTCTTGGTTCACGGAAGATAGTTGATATTATTTTAAGTTATTTTCCCTTTATAATACTTTAGAAATATTATTATAAGGTTTTATACTAGTATATAATTATTTGTTCACCTCATGTAGTTTTGGGAACTCCCATCAAAACTTGCATATCATATAGATCCTTCCCGGTGGATTTTTTATATGATGTTTTTTGGGAATATTCTTCCTGAAGTCTATTTTATGTTCACTAAATCACATCTTAAAATTATGTACACGAAAAGCGCAGTGTTTTTCAAAAATTTATTTACCGACTCCGCGATTTAATTTTAAGACAAAATTAGGTGGACATAAACCAGACTTGCTGAAAAATATGTTCAAATTTTTTATCAAAAACTTCAATTGAAGGACCCTCTGATAGGCATATCCGGGTGAGGCTTCTAGTGAGAACTATTTTTTACCGGTTGTTCCCCTATATTTTACATTGGGAAAAGGTGCAAATAGGCCCATGTACTGACAAAAAAAGGTCAAATAAGCCCTTATTTAGAAAGTTCTGTCCGGCCATCGTCATTTGGGATGGTTCCCGGTTTAATTTTTCGATGAATTTTTTTGAGCATCTTATTCATCAAGTCTAGTTTACTCATACCAAATTTCAGCTAAAACTTCAATCGGGAAGGCATTCAAATGAATTCTTGAAGATAACTGCGCTTCTAACCGCGCGGTTATTTTCAAGAATTCATTTGAATGCCTTCCCGATTGAAGTTTTAGCTGAAATTTGGTATGAGTAAACTAGACTTAATGAATAAGATTCTCAAAAAAGTTCATCAAAAAATTCCATCGGGAACCACTCCAAATAGCGAAGGCCAGACAAAACCTCCTAAATAAGGGCTTATTTGACCTTTTTTGGTTAATACATGGGTCTATTTGCACCTTTTCCCTTTTACCTTTCATAAGAATAAATATGTGTATCCTACATGATATCATGAATCAGTGAAAAAAAATCCGGAAGTTGGAACGTGCCCCTAAAAAGAAGAAGAATAAAGAATTCCAAAACATAATTAATTACAAAATCTTTAGGACTAAATAGGACTAAAAGGTCGTTCAAATTCTCCCAAAAATTTCGCATGTTTAGTGAGATTCGTTAGCGTAAGGTCTATGCCGAAAGTCACACCATGAACAATGCCCCTGATTCATAAATATCATGCTTGATTGATCCACTTTCAACCTTTTCAGATTTTTTATGCTCCGTCAACCACACCTTTTACGACAGCGTTCAACATTATTATTATATATTAATAAATAAAATTAATAAATTACGGCGTATATATTTATTTTGTCGCTTTTCATAAATTAATTAGAACATGCATCAAATAATATTCCCACTCTGTAGCAACAACAATTCTTTTAAACACTTGATTAGTTCATCATTAATAGTTTACATGCCAGCTTCTTTCATGTTAATAGACATTGATTATTCAATTTTGTAATTTTTGTCCTATAATTCGTTCACGCTGAAGCCTTTTCACCTGAATGTACAACTTTTAATAGAAAAAGGCTAAAGGGTCAAATAGGTACATGAACTAACTATAGGAGGTTCTGTCCGGCCGTCGCCAATTGGGGCGGTTCCCGGTGGAATGTTTTGATGAAATTTTTTGAGCATCTTCTTCATTAAGTCTAGTTTACCCATATCAAATTTCAGCTAAAAATTAAATCGGGAAGGCAGTCAAATGATTTTCCGAAATATACTGCGCTGTTTAACTACGAAGTTATCTTCAAAAAATCATTTGACTGCCTTCCCGGTTGAATTTTTAGCTAAAATTTGGTATGGGTAAACTAGACTTAATGAAGAAGATGCTCAAAAAAATTCATCAAAAAATTCCACCGCGAACCGCCCCAATTGGCGACGGCCGAACATAACCTCCTATATAAGGAGCTAATTGAATACTTTAAGTTAGTTCATGTATCTGTTTGACCCTTTAGCCAACAGAAAAATGTAACAATTTTATGTAATTTAGCACTATTACTCTTATTTGTATTGGGTGGAACTTATTATAATGAACACAAAATCCGAAATGTTGATGGAATTCTCATATTTGAAAACCATGGGTTGAGATCTAATGTTTAAATTCACGGTTAAATAGTGTATTTATATGGGAAAGTAATTAAAATACTCCAAATTTTGAAGGGGGTGTGAGGTAAACACCATAAACTTGTATGTAATTTAAATACCCCAAATTTTATATAAAAAGCTATTTTAGCACCATGATTTGTATTATTTCTTTTGAAAAGTGTAAATCTATGGTGTTAATTGCATAATTTAAAATATTTTAGCATTCAATATAATTAACCTTCTAAAAATAAATAGTATTACCCCTCCCCCCCCCACCACCCACACACAAACTCTATATAATTGCTATTTTAAATTATGAAATTAACACAAAAAATTTACATTTTTGAAAGAAATTAAATAATACAAGATCATGGTGTTAAAATAACTTTTCATATAAAGATTGGAATAAAGTTTGGAATATTTAATTTACATATGAAACTTTGGGATGTTCATCTCATCACACCCCTTCGAAATTTGGGGTATTTCAATTATTTTCCCCTATTTATATTGTAAAAACTTAACCTCATGAATTGAATGGTGCATGCAGCTTCAAACGAGTTTTAGTTAGATTATTACTACTCTTATTGCATTAATCCATCTTTACTTTTTAAGATTAAGACTAAAGCACATTACTATAAGTGTTTAATGAGAAATCAAGCAATATTACTCATACAAATTGTGATTAGTAATTATTAGTAACTATAATTATGTTTAAAGTTTACATCATATATAGTGATTACAAGTTTGAAAACAATTATAGTCACTAGTAGTATTAAATCACATTTTATCCATTATTCTTTATTATTAATATTTTATGAAAAGCCTCGTTTATTTTGATAGTCCTCAACTCCTCATTGAAATTTTTCTGTTCAAATTAAAATGTTAACAACGTTGTCTAGGGGTGCAAACGAGCCGAGGCGAGCCCGACTCACATATGCTCGAATTCGAGCTTGAATTTTTTTAATGCTCGAGTTCGACTCGACAGATTTGCATCAAGACCGCGAGCCGCTCGAGATCGATTCGAAATCTTAGGCTTTTAATCACAAACCTTGCATATGGGCTGCTTGTCTTATGCCTTGATAGTTAAAAGGGAGATGAGCGGCTTTATAGATGGAAGTTTGGGGTGTTTACTTAGTACTTGTAGCATTTGTCAACATTCGCACCCTAACTAGCTAATACAAACTGCATCACTATATTTCAGAGATAATTAATGGACATTTTCATACTTTATTGTTGAGAATATTACCCGAAATAGGACTAAAGAGGTTTGAAAATTCCAAAATAGAATTGACATGTTTTTATTCCCAAAATAGGACTAACTACTGCCATGTTTGGGCAATACCATACTTCAAACATGACAGTACTTTCCAAACTTGGCAGTAACTACTCGTATTTTGGGAATAAAAAACATGACAGTCTTATTTTGGAATTTTCAAATCTTTTTAGTCCTATTTCAGGAACTTTCCATTTATTGTTCTATGAATTAGGGAGTACTACCTCCGTCCCATTTATATTGAGACGGAAGAGGGTGACACGGTTATTAAGCAAAGTGGGTTTGTGTGGTTGATATTAATTGATAAAGTAAGAATAAAGTAAGAATGATTTAGAGCCACACAAACTTTGCCAAATATGGTATGTGACAATTTAAGTGGGATTTCCCGTAAAGGTAAAACGGAACAATATAAATAGGATGATGGAGTAATATTTAGACTCATCATAATAACTTATGAGAGACATAATAGATTTTTTTCTAAATTATTATTCGGAACAATAGTTAAGTACGGTAAAAGAAGTAGTGAAGTACGCCGTGTATTAATTAATTAATGCTACCAAAAGGCCCAAATTCGAAGGGTAAATGCAATACGGATAACGGATTTACAGGGTGCAGTATTAAAAGCTTCTAACTCCCTCTCCTTCCCTCATTCTATCGCCCAATCCCCTTCCCTCTGCAACCAACCTGAGAAGTTTTCTCCATTTGATTTTTCAATTCAAAACTACAACCTCGCCTGCATCCAGAATGGACGCGGAACGGGAGAGTCTGGCTCGCTTCACCGCGGTTAGTAGTACTGCCACCGTCGCCGGAGGTAATAGCTCCGACGGTGATGCGCCTCCAGCGACCTCCTCCTCCCCTTCCGTCGTCAATCAGATTACCCAGCTCATCAGCTCCGATGACCCGGCTTTCAAAATTCAAGCAGCCCTGGAGATCAGGCGCCTCACAAAGACTTCCCAGCGCTACCGCCGACACTTCGCTAACGCCGTCGGACCTCTCGTTGATATGCTCCACTCCAGCGCCGTCGAATCGAACGAGGCAGCTCTCCTTGCGCTTCTCAACCTTGCCGTCAAAGACGAATTGTAAGTGTTTTCCCGCTTACACATGAACGGTTATAACTTCTTAAATGGTTGAATCTGTTTTTGGTTTTCAAAATCGGATCAATCTGCCATGAGATATGTATCCCTTTCACGCCTAATTAAATTTGTTGCGCTGTTTTCTTTCATTGCTGTTTTAAGTGTATTGCGTTCGCTTCTTGCCTTTTCAGTTTCCTCATTTCTGTCATCTCCTCTTCAGGGAAGAATTGGTGATGCTTTCGTTTTAGTTTTCCTGCTTTTGTGCCCCCACTCCTTACAATCACCTTCAAGTCTTCAACCAATCATTTGATCTTTCTTTTCTGGTCCTGCTTTGGTGGGTTGCAGATCAAATACTCCGTATAACATACCATAACACTCTGTGAATTATAAATAGTACCTTGGTAAAGATTGATATCTGTCCTTTTACTTCAAATATGGTGCATCTAAAATGCTATATTTCCTTGAATTATTATTGGTTCTGAAATGTGGACATGTGGTCGTTATCTCAAGTTTTAAATATAGGATATGTTATGCTTTATCACGAAGTTAAACTCATGTCTAACTCTTCACACCAAATTGGTGTAAACATCACAAGTGTTTTCTATCCTAACCCTTTACCTATTTATCAACCGAAACTGAGAGAAAGGGGATAACCATTTTCTATATTTCCGCTTTACCTACTTTTTGTCCCCATTTTTTATCAAACAACAAGAGAATGGCACATGAGTAGTGTTTCACCAAATACAGTGTTTTGGTGACATGGCGTCTGAGTTGGAACAAAGGTTGGACGAGTTTTTGTGCATAATAATATGGAACGGTGTTAGAGTTGGAATTTCTCCAAGCTTTCAGCTTTAGATTATATCTACGGACCCACTTATAATTTGAGATTGGATTTCATGTTTTTTTAAGAAAAAGGATATATGAGGTTTCTTTTACATCTTGCAAAGATGATTAAAGATGATGACATATTCACACAAGCTTTTTTTTGTTTTTTTTTTTTCCTTTTATAAATCGATGGCTTAGAATGAAATGCTTTTGCTTCATGTTGGTTAGTTGCTGGTGGCCATGTTTTGTTATTCTCATGTTTTCCTTTTTCTTCTATCTTGTCTGTGAAGCTTTCACGTGTATTGGATTGTGATCCATTAGAAAAATTCCATACTTTGTACTTAAGTCCCCCCCCCCCCCCCCCCCAAAAAAAAAGGCACAGTAGAATGTTTCTACCTGCGGACCTGCCTAACCAAATAGGTAATCAAATAATCAATTAAAGAATATGAATATTGCAGATTTCTTAAAAGGTTCTTTCATCATCTAACATGGGAATATCATCTTTATCTTCTTTTCTCCATAAAATAATAAGGAATCTGGTAAACATATGTGTGATCTTGGAGTGATTTGGTTTTCCTTTTGGATGAAGTTGCAAGTTGATGCTTCCCACTAGAAATGAGTTTTATATTCTCCTGCTTAGTTTTGCTGATGCTAACTCTACTCCACGCTTATAGGCCTACAGTAATAGATTAATATGAGTTCTTCTCTATCTCCTCACTTATAGACATCCTATTAGCTCTGCAATGAGAAACCTTTTAGTTCTGGGTTTTATTATGTTACACAAAGGGTGAGGAATTGAAATATAAAGGTTTTACAGAACAGTGAAAAAATGCATCCCCTGAAGCATTCCCGTAGTTAAATAAGTAGCAGCTGACATGACTAGAAACAAGTTGTACTATCCTTTCTTCTTCTTCATATGTTGACATGCTGTATCCATTTAAACATTAGTCTTTGACATTTATCATGTCTTTTAGATTTTAAATGAAGTGTGATTTACTTCTTCGGTCCAGCTAATTTTGTCAGATAAGTGGCTTAGGGAATTGTCTACAGACTGACTATGAGCCCATTATTTTCGGGTAAGAATTTGTTGAAATGATTGAAATTGGCCGACGTATCTAAAAATATGTTATTTTTAAGAACGTAAATGAAAATATACCCAAACTATTTCCGTTGAAGGTTATTTATCTCTATTTCAGTCATTCAACAAAAAGCTAACACTTGTACCATTTATAACCCCCCATTTCAGAAAATGAGTGATATAACTATATAAGGTACTCCGTAGTATTTTTGTAAAAGAAATGTAATTGATGATGTTGGGGGGTATGACCAAATTAGTAAGGACCAAACAGACACTCAATTTGTGTTTGGATATACAACCACTTGTCAGTTGTCAATTATTGACCAATTAGTAAGGACCAAACGGGCACTCAATTCGTGTTCAAAGGTATATTTGTTTCTTTTTCCTTCTTTTAAATGCAGTTGTTAACATGTACAAAAAAATGAAGTTTAGTACTCCGTAGTAAAAAGCATCTCAAAAGTAATCATGCATCAAAAGTAGTTTCATTGCATCATATGCATCGTTTTGAAACCTTGAACTTACAAATATTTTTAAAACTTTTTGCAGAAACAAGGTAAGAATAATAGAGACTGGGGCTCTGCAACCTATAATAGGATTTCTACAGTCCAAGAATTTGACTCTGCAAGGGCACGCAACTGCATCACTCCTCACACTATCTGCCTCTCCCGTGACAAAGCCCATCATAACTGCCTCTGGCGCGATCCCTCTTCTTGTCAAAGTCCTTAAAAGCAGTGGCACCCCTCCACAGTCTAAGGCCGATGCGGTAATGGCTCTCTACAACCTCTCATCTTACGAAGGCAATAAGATCCCGATCCTCCAGACAGACCCCATCCCTTCCATTGTCAGTCTGCTCAAATCCTGCAAGAGATCTTCGAAAACAGCAGAAAAATGTATGGCTTTGATAGAATCTTTAGTCAGTTACGAGGAAGGTAGGACCGCATTGACATCGGAAGAAGGCGGGGTACTAGCAGTGGTAGAAGTACTCGAAAGTGGGTCCCTTCAAAGCCGAGAACATGCTCTAGGAGCCCTTTTGACAATGTGTGAGAGTGACAGGTGTAAATATAGGGAACCCATTCTTAGGGAAGGTGCAATCCCTGGGCTTTTAGAGTTGACCGTTCAAGGGACACCAAAGTCTCAAGCTAAAGCACAGACTCTGTTGAGATTGTTAAGAGAGTCTCCGTTTCCGAGGTCTGAACTCCAACCTGACACGCTTGAGAACATTGTTAGTAACCTTATATCACAGATGGGTTCAGGGGAGGAGCAGCCGGGAAAGGCGAAGGAGATGCTTGCTGAGATGGTGCAAGTTAGCATGGAGCAAAGCTTGCGACATTTGCAGCAAAGGGCGGCTATGGTTTGCACCCCTGCTGATCTATCTGTCACTAGGCGTGCTTCAAAAGTTTCTTCAAAATGACACTTCAAGAATATAAGTTTTTTTTGACGGGTACCTTTGTAATTGTGACATCAGTATTGATTCTGTACTAGAGAATAAGATGTCTATAGCATAGATGCCAGTCCAGGCCCTTACAGGTTTATCTGGAGACTGGTCAATGTATATAATCTGAATGGAACCACAATGTTTGGAACAGAGTTTTTTTTTAAATACATGGACTTTGTGACGTATACTGTGGACAGATTGAATAATATATGATCATTTTTTCCTCGAGAACAATCAGAGCCGTCTCCAGGAATTTTGATGCCCCAGACAAAAATGACTAATGAGATCAAATACTACTTCAAATTAATAACATAACTAAATATGAAGTAATTAGAAAATTATAACATCATTTTTTACTAAGAACCTGTTTGGTGTCAGCTTATCAGTCAACTTTTTAACCAAACATGTAACTTTTGATTTCACAAACTAAATTATGTTACAATAAGAAAAAGTAAAGTTGGTGTTACTTTTCGGGTTGTATTGGCTGAAGTTACTGTAGATGACTATTTTAGCTATTTTTCATATAATTTTTTCTTTATTTTATTAATAAAATATATTTTAAATATAATTTTTTCATTAACCAGCAGAATCAGTCAATACAACCACTTCCGACAGAACTTCATAAATTTCAGGAAAATCAGCCGATTCAGACAATTTCAATGTTACCAAACAGGTTCTAACTTCTAAGTGTAAAAAGAAATACTTGACTTAAAGTTGACTTAAAATGGGTTTTTTTAAATTTTAATTAAATTCATATGTACTAGGTTAACTTGGCTACTAGGGTAATAGAGTACTATTTCTAAATTCTTATTTTCTAATTCCTATTGAGCCATCCGGCCAAGCTCCATAATCCATCTGCTTGTCAATATATTATTACCCTGTATTTCATTTGATTTTTTTGTAGACTTTGAGTATTCTAATTCCTAACTCTCGTAGTGCGTCTGGCCGCTAAAGGCAAAAAGTGAATTGCATGCAACTTGGTTAATTGGATACGTACTGGATAATCATATACTATGTATTAGTAATATTACTATAATAATTTATGAATATATACAATAATAATAATAGGTTTCTTATTAAAAAATGGTGCCCCCATGGGAGTGGTACCCTAGGCCATTGCCTAGGTGCCTACCCCCCATGGACGGCTCTGAGAACAATATATGATCTGAGGTAGTTTATTCTCGCTTCCAGCTTCCTCTCCTTGATTCTCTTTAATTTTACTAAAAGGTTTTGTTTTCTTGGATTGAATTTACTGAATTGCTTTGGGACGCAAGTTAAGTGAACGTGCCCAAACTCTCTATACTACTTAACTTTTTTGCCCTCAAATTTATCTTGTCTACATATTTTTAAATTCTATTCATACTGGCATATTCTGTGTATCTTCAACGAATTTTGTGTTTTTTTTATCACTTTTAGGTAGGGATGGACTCGAGCCGGGCCAACCGGCCCGGAACCGGACCGGCCCGCTACTGTGCGGGCCCAGACCTGCCCGGTGAACCGGTTAGTGCCCGGTTCGGGCCACCCGGCCCGGTGGGTTTCGGTTCTGGGCTCGGGCCCTTCATTTGGTGAACCGGCCCGGCCGGTTCGGGCCCGGTCCGGGCCGAATTTATTTTTATTTTTTTTCGGAATTTGTTTTAAGTTTTTGGGTTAGGCTGGGTATTTTGGGCCATTTGAGGTGGTTTGGGGGTGAAGGGGGTGGATTGGGGGTTAAATAGGAGAAGCCAAAAAAAAAACCGGGTGGCCCGGCCCAGAACCGGTGGCTACCGGTTCGGGCTCGGGCCCAACAAAACAGAACCGCGAACCGACCGGGCCCAGGCCCGAACCGGAACCGGTCCACCCCTACTTTTAGGAGAAATTTTGTAAGAAAAAATCTACTGTAAACATTAAAAAGTCGATGTCAATCTATCTATATACTCCGTATAAGAAAAGAGTAGTCTCATTAAATTACAAACCTACTCCTATTTACATAAACAACCTTCATACTTTTGCTCTGCCTCCTGTCCTTAACTTTAGATGTGGTTACAAAATACGGAGTAATAATATAGAAAAACTATGAGAGCGGAAAATAATACGTAGAAAAAGTAAGCGTAATTGAAGTTTTTTCAATCAAAAAACCTATATCAACAAAAACTTTAACAAAAATTAAAATAAAATTAGATCACGTGTCTCCTATCCTCTTCAGATTTATTTTAATTACTAGTATATTGGAACTTTGAACGATTAATAGAATATGGCCAGATAGGCCATATAGAAAAAAGCGATCATATACAATGGATTCAATGGACATTTGATATATACCGTAAAGTAAGTTCATACATACATACATACATACATACATACATACATACATACATACATACATACATACATACATACATACATACATACATACATACATACATACATACATACATACATACATACATACATACATACATACATACATACATACATACATACATACATACATACATACATACATACATACATACATACATACATACATACATACATACATACATACATACATACATATATATATAGTGGTCTTCTTGTCAGGCCGGCCTGACGGGATGCTCCGTCCGGCCGAGGGAATTTCGGGCACTTCCCGGTGGAATTTTTTGATGAAATTTTTTGAGCATGTTCTTCATGAAGTCTAGTTTATCCATACCAAATTTCAGCTAAAAATTCAATCGGGAAGGCAGTCAAATAATTTGTTGAAGTTAACTGCGTAGTTTATATGTATGAACTGCCCAGTTAACTTCAACAAATTATTTGAGTGCCTTCCCGATTGAAGTTTTAGCTGAAATTTGGTATGAATAAACTAGACTTCATGAATAACATGCTCAAAAAATTTCATCAAAAAATTCTACCGGAAGTGTCCGAAATGCCCTCGGCCGGACGGCGGTTCCCGTCAGGCCGGCTGGACATGAAAAGTTGTCTATATATATATACATATATATATACATACAATGGTATGAGTCCCGTTCCTATCAGGAGCTCCTGAAGAGAAGCCCCGATCGGACAAGCCCATCAGAGGGTCTTCCCGGTGGAATTTTTTGATGAATTTTTTTGCGCATGTTCCTCATCAAGTCTAGTTTGTCCATACCAAATTTCAGCTCAAAATTCGATCGGGAAGGCAGTCAAATAAATCTTGGAAACATACTGCACTTTATATGTGCGCAGAATGAGCCTTAGTTTTCCAGGATTTATTTGACTGCCTTCCCGATCGAATTTTGAGCTGAAAGTTGGTATGGACAAACTAGACTTGATGAAGAACATGCTCAAAAAATTTCATCAAAAAATTCCACCGGGGGCTTGTCCGCACGGGGCTTCTCTTCAGGAGCTCCTGATGTGAACTGCCCTATATATATATATACATATACATATATATATATATATATATATATATATATATAGGGATTGGTTCCGGTAAGAACATACCTTTGGGAGAGAAATAAGAACGAGATCTAGCCATCAATTGATGTAATCGGATGGCTATAATAATAATGGAGCATATTAATAATGATGTAACTCACGTTCATACTATTACACATTACAAGGAAAGTTTGAATTACATTTAATACACTTATACACAAGGGCATATTAGTAAACCACTACATGGACTTTAGGAACGTATTTATTCTATTTAGAGGAAGAATCTGGATTTTCATTTTATTTTCTTAATAAAACACAAGTAGTGCTAAAGTTCATGTTCACACTGCTATCAGTTAGATATAAAAACTACAAAAGCATTACAAAAGTGCGAAAAGTTTTACATCAAAGTGTATTATTAAGTTATGTAAAAAATGGTGGAAATGGTTAGAATGAAAGGTAAAAAACGTGAAGATATGAAGACTATTAGGTGTCTAAAGCTGGATACTCATGCAATACATCATACGAAATAAATATAATTTTTCAATTCACTAGTTAAAGCGATTGTGTGCATATAGAAGCATGTGTGTGTGAGTAATTAGGTATATGGAATAAACACACATTGGGGATGAGGGGAGGGTTTTGGGACGGAGACCTGGCGCTCCAAGGGGAAACTGACGTTTTGGCCGGTGAAATCGAAAGAGACAGGTCTGCCAGAGACAAATTCTCTATCCGATTTGGCTCCTTCGTTCTATCGGGCAAAGATTTACACGTTGCATCTGATATAATACATATATCATACTATAAAAGTGATTGTGTTTATAAGAATAAATGTATTATACACCATTAGGTTAAATGTATCAACCTCCTCATGAAAAGATCATGATAAACATGCTTACTGGTGTTTGCTGAACTAGATCCGGAAACCATTTATGAATATCTGGAGATGCGAAAAATAGAAAATCTAATAAACAAAAATTTGATGCTCTATCCAAGCCCAAAGCACGGAACGAGGGGTGGAATATGCATCTGGACTCAATTTCGAGCCCAGGCGTACAATATTTGGGCTCAATACGGCCCTGGGGCCGACTAAAGCATCGTTAACCCCCAAATCGCCACAAACCCGTGTTTCCGGGATTTCTGACGTACAACAAAGCAAATGAAGATGAAGAACAGGGCCCGAGCACTGACCTGAAAGACGAGACAAAGCATGGAAGCTAGAAACGACCTTGGTTGAAAACTTGAAGAAATATGGAATGCACGGAAAAAGCTGGGGCGACTGATAAAGCTTAAACAAATGAAAACTCTGAAAGCGTAAAGTGTAAGAATGAAAGGTTTCCACCTTTTATATTTTTCAAAACATAGGGCAACGTAAGGACACACTTATGGTTGTGAATTAACGGACCAAAATTTGGAACAAATAAATGAAAAGGCACGCCAAAAGTACATGCAATAATGACGCTGTACTATCCTTTTAGTCACTGTCATTATTGCAAAACAGCCTAACAAATTCAAAAAATGAAACATAAATACTTTAAATTCCCAAGGCCTATATCAGCGTTACTACACGCTTTAGCATTAATACACACGGAATAAAAAATTTCCTAAGTCTACCAAGCCTTTTACGCTAAACATTACCTCGTCCCCTTCAAGCTCATACTATACTCTTTTCCACTTAGAAAAAAATCTAAGTCCAAAAGAGTGGGGAACTGGTAAGTCGTGGGACTCAGCTAGAGCTGCGAGCGAAGTACACATAAATCAAAGTTCACCTCTTAAAACAGATGACAACCCCGACCTATGTTGCTAAG